CCTCTACACTTAAGACTGTCTACACTTATGTCCGTGTAGGAGCTGGATGGTTATGTCTTTCTTTGCGCAGACGCCGAGCGATTGGCCTCGCTTATTCAAATTGAAATGCAAAGTCAAAGTCTTCTTCGTGTAGTAATTCCATCCTCAGTGTAGTACTTGTAGTTTCATGATGAGGAACCTTGATCTTGTGATCAGAGTCGCACTAGTCTTGGTGGTGCCGCAAGGCGATCCTGGGAGAAGGCCCCTGAGGAGTGCCAGGAGCGCAGCCTGGGGCCCAAAAAAAATCCGTCGGGGGCAATTTGGCAATTTGGCAATTTGCGCGTTCCTACTGAGGACAGTGCGTGCGGAGGAGTTGCGCCATTTCCATTTCTATTGTTTGTTGCGTGTACGAGAAGCAGTCTGTGGTGGCGTAACAATAGAAATGGCATAACTCCTCCGCAAGTCTGTTTTTTTCACGATTTCCATCGTCTCCGTTAGCGTCTTCTTCTTCTTCTTTTGCTGAAACATCTTGATCTCAATCGTCTCGCGCTGATGGCCGGTGGTCGAAATTCACTTCCTTGTCATCTTTTTTTTTTTTTTTTTTTTTTCAATGAATTTGGACCAGTTCTTGATTTATACGTGTCGTCCTTGCGCAGGGGCCATGCTAATCACCCCTCTCTGTATCGTTCCAATTTTAACGGATGTCCCGAAGACGTATCATCTATTTTTCTATTTAGCTATCTATTTTTTTTTTATCTGTTTTTGTTTATCTTTTTTTTTTTTTTTTTCTATCGATTTCCGACAGTGACGAGACACATAGACTCGGGGACTGATTAGAAAGAAAAAAAAAAACAGACTGGGGGCTGCGTCGACAGGCCGGTGTGGTCGGGTCAGGTGGGCGTGTCACTTGCCCAGACTGGGTACCAACAACGGCACGCGGGAAATCCGTGCTGCGCGGTGGCGTTAAGTACCATTATTGGGGGCCTTTGGGGCTTTTATAGCTTTTCAACCCTTGTTCGATTGTGCAAGTCCCATGAGGGAGGAGGTCGCGTGTTCGATTCTTTTCTTGAGATCGGATCATTCACCGAAAAATGCAAATGCAATTCTTCGTCACCGTCTTCTTCATTTGCTGATACACGCCGTCTCTGTCAGCGTCTTCTTCTCGAAAAATGTTCTTCTCCTCCCTGCTGATGTCCGCACCTCGAAATTCACTTCCGTGTTTCATCTATTTTGCTATCTATTTCTCTCTCTTTTTTTTTTTCTTCTATCTATATATCTATTTTTCCTTTATCTATTTATATCTATCTATTTATCTATGTATTCATTCTAACATCAGGAAGTCGGGTAATCGTTATGATCATATGATAACCCATTCATGATTGTTTCTTTTTCACAATGCTAATTATAGCAAATTTAGCATAAAGCTTTATATTACGTATTTTTCATAAAGCCTTATATATCTATATATTGTGAATATTTTTATATATGTTTTCATTACATATGTTTTTATTAGATTTTTCTTTTTTCAAAAGATTGTATTATAATCTAGTATTCAAAAACTTGATGTATAAATGGATAGAATTTTTTCATAAAAATACATAAAAATACAAATATACGTATACGATATATGATATATATGTATAGTCAAACAGAGCTGCCCGGTAAACCGTAGGCAGAGAGGGAGGGAGAAGAGGACAACAAACGACGGGCTGTGGCAAACTGTTTCGTCGGAGTTTCACCGACTATATATTTTTCTTGTTTTCTTCTGTTTTTTTTTTCGCCTTTGCGCTCTCATACTCATGTGACGATATATACTCTCGTGTGACGCCTGTCGGGACAGAGACGCGGTGCGCCTTGGCTGTGGAATGCATCATCTATGCCGTAGCCATTATCAATCTATTGCGACTGCCGCCGTCTGTCCTGAAGGGTGTCCAACATTTCCTCATTGTACACATCCCTATCACCCAGATATACGTTGTCCCTATTGTGCCCAAGGACGCTATCAGAACTGTATGATGCCGCACTGTGATGAA